AATATTACTCAGCAATAAAAAAGAATAAAATCATGGTATTTACAGGTAAATGGATGGAGTTAGAGAAGATAATGCTAAGTGAAGTTAGCCATCCCCCTCAAAATGAWTGTCAAATGTTTTCTCTGATATAAGGAGGATGATTCATAGTGGAGTAGGGAGGGGGAGTATGGGAAGAATAGATGGACTTCAGATAGGACAGAGAGGTAGAAGGGTAAGGGAGGAGAAATGGAGTTAGAAATGATGGTGGAATGTGATGGACATTATTATCCAAAGTATATGTATGAAGACACTTATTGGTGTGAATATACTTTGTATACAGAGAGATGAAAATTTGTGCTGTACGTGTGTAATAACAATTGTAATGCATTCTGCTGTTAAATATAAACAAAAAATAAATAAGTAAAATCAGGTTTAGATTAAAAAAAAAAAAACCTGCTTCTTCCATGTGAAAGCCCTGGCTCTGTACCCATCAATAGTTGCTTGGCATAGCATGTTTGGCAACATAAAATGGCAATTCTTACACAATGTAAAATTGTTCTCTATTTGGTTCCCATTTTTCTTTGGACAATGTACCCTGTCAGAAATTTATTGCCTAGATGTTAGTAACCATTCTTTAACTTTTACTCAACTAGGGATGTTTTGACCCATTCCCCCTTCTACTTATGATTTTAGATTTCATGACGTTTGTTTATGGTTTTGAATCAAAGCAACAGTGACTTATGATTAACATGGCTTTGGACTATAAAAGGTGTAATCAAACTCCTGGAGGGGGATCAAAAGGTGTAGACTTGCAGCCTGCCCCTCAACCCACCAGCTAGTGGATCTGGACCCCCAACTGGTAATAAAACAAACAAACAAAAACACCACACTGTTAAATGGATGGGTTTATGGATTTATTTTATAAAGAAGAACAAATGTCTGATTCACTACACAACCATATAATTTCTTTTAAGAAGTATCTTGTGAGTGTCTGAATATAGCTGTTCCTTGGTATCTGGAGACAGGGATTGTTTCCAGGACCCTTGGTATACCAAAATTCATAGATGTTCAATCCCTGATATAAAATGCTAAAATATTTGCATTTAACCTTTGCACTTCAGCCTTTATTCTRTAAATCATCTCTATATTAATTATAATACCTAATACAATGTAATACTAYATAATTAATTTTTTGCTGTATTGTTTAGGGAAAGAATATAAGTCTTATATGTTTGGCACAGAAGTTACCATCATAAGCCTAAATACATAGAACATATCAATAACAACTTTTTACCAAAAAAAATATTTTCAATGAGCTTCTGGTTGAATACACAGATATGGAAACCATAGACGTGGAACCTCATGGATACCTAGGGCCAACCATGCACAAAAGAAGAACATWGAAGTAAGAGGATAGGTATATGGACAGATTCTGACTTATGATTTTTTTACTTTGTGATGATGTGGAAATAATAAACTTTCAGTGGAAACCATACTTTGAATTTTGATCCCTTCCTGGGTTAGTGATATTCAGTATGGGTCTGATGCTCCAGATGCTGCGCAGTGGCAGTGAACCACATCTCCAAGTAGCCAAATGATCATGAGGGTAAACAGTGAATACTCTACATTGTACCATGTTGCTCACTGTGATGTTGGGTAGATTAAGTATATTAAATGCATTTTTAGCCTAACCATATTTTTAACTTATGATAGATTTATCAGCACATAACCCTATTTTTAGTTGAGAAGCATTATGTGAATTCCATCAGCAAGATTTGTTATTTCTGTAACTTTGGGTCATATAACTTTTCTCAGCTTCAACTTTTTCAATAGGAAAATTAGGATGATAGATCAGCATTCAATTCATTATTTATATGAAAATCAAATTGAATAATATGTAATTTGAAAATTATTATCTATCATGTCAATTTAAACACTTCTGGGATTAACCTAGATGAAATAAAACATGAGCAGAGGTGTAATGATTTTCATTTTTGATATTGCACTTATCAGGGGAGACAATAAAACTTTTTCTGCTGTTTTCTGAGAACCAGAAATTGTAATGGATGGGTTCCAGGTCTGAGCACTGGAATGCTTGTGATCTAGTTCTGCGTTTGTCATTTGTTGAATTCATAATTTAGGACAAATATGTTGTATCTTCTTTGCTAATGGTTTGCCTCTGAAATGTCCCACAAAAGCTCATTTGTTGAAAGAATAGTCTCCAATTCAGCAGAGTTCAGAGGTGGGACTTTTAGGCAATGACTGGGTCATGAGAGCTCTGAGCTCATAGTGTATTAAACCATCAAACCCATTGACAAGCTGGATAGACTACAGGGAGGTACCTATTTGGAAGAAGCAAATCATTGGAGGCATGCACTGGAAGGGTTTGCTTTCTCCCCAGCCCCTTCCCCAGCACTCCCCAATCTGTGTTTCCTGGCTCCCATGCGCTGAGAAGCTTTCTTCCACCATGACGTTTTTGCCTTGGAGACAGTTGACCCTGAACTAAATCTTTTGAAACTGTGAGCCAAAATAAATTTTTCCTATTCTAAGTTGTTCTTTTCAGATAGTTTGATCACAGTACTGAAAAAYGCACTTACACACCTGACTTTTATCATATTTAAAATGGTGGAGATTATTGCGCTCCTTTTTATGACACTTAGGTGGGCATTCCTTTAAACCTTCTCCATAGTTCTGAGTGATTRCCTGTCTCTTTCACAAATATGTATACCGTGAGTTAATATGCTTGGTCTATGTCCTTTAGTGGGGACCCTTATAGGAAAAGAGATTTTAAAATATTAATATCAAGTTCTTAATTACCAGACTTAATATTCTTTTTTTTCTAAATTTTCTTTTMTTTTTTTAACCTTTATTTTATTTGTTTTATTTTTTTTATGTGTTGCCAGAGATTGAACCTAGTGCCTCATGCATGCTAGGCAAGCGCTCTACCACTGAGCCACAACTCTGGCCCCAAACTTAATATTCTTAATGGAAGAAATGCTAAATAATGTTTGTAGGGTTTTTCTCCTAAATGTATTTGACCTTGATTTTTCTTTGTTATTGAATCAGTGTTTTCATTTTTCAGTGAAAATGTTACTGTTCAATGAAAATGTTATTTTTTCCCCAGAAAGAATCATGTTTTCTCTGAAGTTCAGTAGCTTCACATTTTTGACATATTTATTACAAAGTAACATGCTTACACCTCTTCCAAATAAATGAGAAAATTGCACATGTAAGACACTTTTATTGTTGACAGGGTTGAAATTTATCAGTCAGTAATTTACTTGACAGCATATTCCCATCTATCTTTATTACATATGAAGCCTTGATTTAATTTTTTTTCTTTTTTCGGTAGCAGAGGTTAAACCTAGGGGTTCTGAATCACTGCACCACATTCCTAATCCTTTTATTTTTTGTGTTGAGACAGGGTCTTACTAAGTTAGTTAGGGTCTCACTAAGTTGCTGAGATTGGTTTCCAMCTTGCAGTCCTCTTGTCTCAGCCTCCGGAGTCAATTTAATCTTTATTTAATAAGCAGTGATAAAGATAAAGATAGAAATAAATAATACTATACAGGGCCATTACATTTAAAACTTCCATTTTGGTAAGTAAGAGAAATAGAGTAATATTTCTTACTTCCCTCTTGAAATAGTTTAAGTTATTGAGCTAGTAAGTATGATAATMATTGATTAGAACTTTTTTTTCTCTTTGTCACTTTTTGAGAATTTATTGTTTATTAACAGGCAGTAAAACCAAGGAGAATAAATTCTGTCTATATCACTTCTTTATCTTAGTAAAAAGTCCATTTACAATTAAAATCTGGATAAAATTTTTTTGTAAGTTTGATTGRTACTTTTTAATTTTTCATTAAAAAACAACATCCTAGTCAACATACTAATATAATATAGGGAAAACTTTACATTTTTTACCATTTTCTTTAAATATAATTGCTATTACCCAGTTTGAGTGTCAACCTCTCTTCTGTGTATACTATTTATAAATGTGTAACTTTGGCTGATGTATATGGGTATATATTCTGGGTATAGTATCCTTCAACTTGTATTTTAAGATATATCTTTCAGATCTTTAGAAGAAGAGTACTTACTTTTATGCTGCATATTATTCCATAGTACAGGTGTATTTTAGCTTATTTTCTATTCCCCTCTTGACAGACATTTAGGTTGTTTCGAACTTTTATTTTGCCAACAATCTTTATATTATTTTCTTTATATTTTATTTACATTATTTAAGTGATTTTGTATTTAACCTTGTATATAACCTTGAATACTTTCCAGTATGAGTTAACTAATGTTTTAATTTGTGAAAGTTATTTATAAATTCTAAATGTTATTTTCTTTTTCACATAATACATACAATTTTCTTTAATCTATTGCTTAGCATTGAGCTTTGTTGTATTACATTGGTTGTTGTTCAACTATTTAAACATTTTTATGTAGTCAAAGTTATCAATTCTCTTTGTCATCTATTTCTCGAATTTTGCATAAGGTCTTTCTTTGCCATGGATTTTTTATTTCCCTGTATGTATAAATAATCAAATGTTTAAGACTATCAGGTACCTTTCAAATAGCTGCTTAGCCTATACTCCTGCATTACTCTATATCCAAGAGGTCCCAGAAGTTTTCTATTAAAACTGAGAAAGTTTATTTCTCGTGCTTTAAAGACAATATGGCTATAATTTTTGACATAATCATTCTTGCATGATGTTTTTCAAATAAAGCTATCATAAGGTAAATATTGAATATTATCAGGTGTGTTTAGCCTCATGCATGAATTGAATAATTTGTTTAGATCATTGTAAAAGTTCTATAGCTTCACACCTACCTTGCTTTCTGAGATATTAGCCAAAGTGTTTTTTATCTGCATCTTTTCTTAACTCCACTATAGCAATTTAAATATCATACAATTCATGGGCAGAAAATTATGTTAACTCTAATTCCTTAATAAAATAATATATCTTAGAGGGGAGATGAAAAATTTATTCATCTAAACTTGTTTTTTTCTTCAGTTTTGTCAAAAGAGCATGCTTCACAAGTCCTGGTTCGGAGACGCCGTGCAAACTCTTTACTAGAAGAAACCAAAAAGGGCAATCTTGAAAGAGAATGCATTGAAGAACTATGCAACAAAGAAGAAGCAAGGGAAGTCTTTGAAAACAATCCGGAAACGGTAAGAATTCATAGCCACTATCACACTTTGTCACAGAGTTGTGCTAAGCAATTCAGGGAGACCCTGTCTCTAAATAAAATATAAAATAGGGCAGGGGATGTGGCTCTGTGGTCCAGTACCCCTGAATTCAATCCCCAGTCCCAAAAAGAAAAAGAAAAGAGATCCCACACATAACCACTTCCATTTCAGGAGAAAGTACATTTAAAGGAAGGTGGGCTTGTTAGGAAGACATTACTGCCATAACAATATCTTCTGACTAATTCACTTATACCTCATTATCAGCAAATAGTATTGACCTCCTAGTTTTTAAATATTATCTCCTAACCAGAATTTGGTAGTATACAGGGTAGAGGAGACGATGTCTCAAGTACATATACATTGTGCGTATGTTATTATTACTCCACTTTATTGAATCTCTCCATTTAATATTAACCAGGCTCTAGAAACAAGGCCATTTAATGCAGAGCATTTTCACAGTATTTTATATGCTGAGTATACTTTACTTTATTCTACAAGCCCTTGGGAARTTTCCTGAACCCACTCCTTATCAGTTATATTCTTCAGCATATCAAACCTTACATGTCAGTCCACAAAAATAAAACCACAAAGACCCTTAAATATCATATAGGACCCCCAGGCCTTATTATTAGTCCCTAATTCTTTTAGGAGAAGAAGTTCTTTAGCATGTCCTGTGGGTAACCCATGTGTAAATAGTGCTTTTAAGAAGCAGAGTGAGAGTGAGGGTTCCAATCTGATAACCTTCAGGTCAACCTCGATGTGATGTTTCTCCTGAGATGAAGGATACAGCCTAGAGCAAAAGAGAAAGAAAGCATGAACAAAGTACCTCTGGAACCTCTGCAGTGGCTCTCAGTGCCCTGAAAATAGAGGAGTAAGAATGAGCAGGAATTTTGTCTGTAGTTAGAGAATCTTTCTAAGACTGTAGGAACTTGTGTTCTCTTGGGTTACTCTTGAATCTTTTTTTGCCTTCACCTATTCTAATAGGTTCACAGAGAATACTTCCCAAAGATTAATTTTTAATCTCTTTGGGATTGAATAAAAATATTTCTCTCTCTGTTGTGTTGCTTTTATGGGTAAAGAATTGACAAGAAAAAAAAATATTTTATCAAAYGCAATGTACTAGAATACATTATTGTGTAGAATTTTACATTTACATTACATAGTTTATATTTCCATAACAAAAAAGGAAAGTGTGCACACTCTAAATTATTATAAATTTTTGTAATAAAAATAATATAGTATATTTAAACAAACACATCCTTTTTTATTTTAAAAATTTTAAATATATAGCAAAGTAGAAAGAAAAATAAAATGAACTCCATTATTATACTCACCTCCCCTTCAACAGCTATCCATAATCTGTACTTTTATTTTCCTGTTCTCTATCACACCTACTCTAGTTTTTATTTTGTTTTTCTGGAATACTTTAAAACATGCCCAAAATACATTATTAATAAATACTTGACTTTGTATTTATAACATTGTAGACATGTTCTTAGAGCTTAGCCTCTAAGTAGCAAAAGTGAGGTAGAAGATCACGGGGAGAAGAGGAAAGATGGTGCAGAAGGAACACTCATTTAGGTGCTTCTTCATCTTCACTAATTCTTAAACTGTTTTCATTGACAGAAGAGAAAGTGATGGCAGAGGAGTAAGGCAGAAATGGGAGAAATGAAAGGGTGGGGGGAAGCATGTGTTACTGTTTATCATTTCCTGACCTGTGCCATCCTTAATGCTCTTAGTTCACATTTACCCTGATGCCTCCTCACCATCCCTAGCATATTCCTTTCACCATCATTTCATCACTCATTGAACCCATTTCTTGCTACTTCCAAGCTTTTCTGGAGAAAACAATACTGTTGTTTGAATTACTCAGTATGAAATCCCTTCCTTATAAACCAGTAGACATGTGTTATATGGTTTATATTTGAGAGGAGGAAGCAGTGAGAACTTTATACTGCATAAAGATATGTTTAGTACTTATTAACCTGGAACACTGAATATGTCTTTGTGCAGGAATTCTGGTTTTGCATAAGTATTTTTATGCTGTTAATGTTGTCTGTTTGATATATTATGACCTGAAAATGCTTTTTTGAACCAGCATGGGAAATTTACCATCAGAAATTTTTAACATTTTTCCCCCTTTTATAATGTGCATTCCTTAGTCCAAATTACTGATTTACAGACTATGTTTTGGTACATAGCCAATTTATATGAAAGATATTACATGCACAACAAATGCTATATGGTAATTACTTTAGTTCATTCCAAATATTTCACTCATATTCAACATTGAATCTGGTTTGAGTAATCATCATGATATAAAATGTATCAAATAGGCACTTAATCATTATGGAAAATTAAAAGATTTACAAAAAGGGGACATATGTGATTATATTTGTCATCTTAAACAGAACCTGCTTTTAGACTGTAAACTTTTGAAACATGATTTAATTGATCAATGGTCCTTTATTTTTAGTCATATTGTTGGCTTAAATTATCTACTGTTTGTATATTTTATTGCAAAAATAAATTTATAATGTGAAAATTAAATCTAAATTATTTCTRTCTTTAACATGAAAAATATTATAACATTTAAGTTGTAATTCTATAATGAAATTTATGCTTGCTAATATACATATTTTTTTTCTTTTATTCTAGGATTATTTCTATCCAAAGTACTTAGGTAAGTTCAAAGAATCTTGATCTTATAATCTTAGGCATAGAAGGGAAATAAATATATYCATGTTTAATTCCCCACCTGTATATAGYACCATATATAATTTCATTGTCTTTCAAAATAAAATCTTTGCTGTCCTTTTATTTAAAGACATGGAAAAAAATTTGGAATGATTCTTGAATTACCATAGGGCATTCTGGCTTCATCTTTTTCAGCCTTGTATCTTTCTCATAGAGTTTTTGGGCTGATTTGTATTTAGGTACCCAGACATTATCTTTTATTTTATTTTATTTTTTTGTACTGAGGATTGAATCAGGGACACTCAAATACTGAGCCACATCCCAAGCCCTTGTATTTGGTCTCACTGAGTTGCTTAGCACCTTGCTAAATTGCAGAGCCTGGCTTTGAACTCAGTGATCCTCCTGCCTCAGCCTCCTGAACCTCTAGGATTACAGGCATTCCCCACCATGTCTGGCCCCAGACATTCTCTATAGATGCCCAAGAAATTCTCTATAGGTGTGAGTTTCATGGGTTATCTTTCAATGAAAGGAAAGATCTCTAAATTGTTCTGACTTTATGGAATAAATAATTACCATTTAGACATTTGTAAAGATTATTAATATCTTCTCTCTTTGTATCACCATTTCAGTCCTTCCTTCAGTATCCTTTCTAGGTTCTATTTTGGGCTATGACTCTGGGCTCTCAAGGAATGAGATAATATTTTCATATTCATATAGATTAGATGATTTTAACTAAATGCCAATGAAAGAAAACAACATTCGAATTTTATTAAAGCAAATATAGAAGTATTTTACATAAATAGTACTTGGATAGTTGTCAGCATTTCCAATCATAATGGAATATAATTTTTGCATCTCTTGCTGATTTCATGGTTCCAGAACAGAGGTATTCTTTCTTTCCCCCTTTAGGCTTAGAATYTTCTTCATGTATGTGCTTTCCCCATTCTCATCACAGCCAAAAGGAAATGAAAAGTAAATTATTGGAAAAAAATATAAATGGGCTCTGATACACATTAATAACTATCCAGTTAAGAATTTTTAATATAAAGTTTCAAATAATAATGTCTATTAAACTCATAGTTCTCTTGAAATTGAATGATTTAATTGTTGTTTGGGGCTTTATGTTTGTTTGGTTTTGTATTGTCTTGTTCTGAGTACCCAGGCAAAAATTCCAAGGTAGAGGAACATTTATACSTTTCCTCTTTTCCTAGGGAGCCTGATGCTGAAAGTATGTTAAGAACTTACATTTGTCCTTCAGGACAATTAACAATCTAAGAGTCCTGGATAGAAGTCCTTTTAGTAGAGCCAGGAATTCTCCCATAGCTCTGGAAATATTTACTCCTCCATTTTTTAAAGTGCACATGTTGGTCAGCATCTTATGTTTGTGGCATATTTTGAGCTCAAAAGACTCAACAATAACATACTATATCTTAGTTCACCCTGTTACCAACACTGAAAGTGGTATCTTTACTTTGAACACTTAAAGATCTTAAACTAGCTTCTATGAGATATAGTTTTTCTCATTTGTCAGCTGGCTAGAAACAATTTACTTAATAGGTTTGCAGGAAAATGAAAAGAGAATGTTTTCAAAGCACTTAGTAGAATGTTTGTTATGCTAGTACTCTTCATTTTCCCCCTGACTTTTCTATTCCAATTTTCTTTGACTTGCTTCTTTTCCCTTCTCTTTCCTTCTCTAATATCAAACTTCCAACAATTCCCATCTAATTTGGAAAAGTGCCATGGTAAAAATTAATTGAGGTGATGTTATTTGTGTCAATATATATGAAAATACAAGATTTTCTCAAACCTTTTGCTAATGTATCTTTTTTTAAAAAAATATTTTATTAGTTGTTGATGGACATTTATTTATTTATATATGGGACTGAGAATCAAACCCAATGCCTCACAYATGCTAGGCAAGTGCTCTATCACTGAGCCACAAACTCAGCCCCTTGCTACTGTATCTTAAAAGGGTAAAGGAATATAGGTGTGCATCCATGAAAAAGATCTCCTCCCTTGAAAATTATATTAAATTCCTCACTTTCTAARCAAAAACCAAGGATATGTGCTATTGAAAAGAAAGACTATCAAGACTGTTTGAACTTCTCAATTTTAGATAGGAATTTAAATATTTTATCACAAAAAGAGACAATATTTGATTATAAAAATTTACAGACTTCAACAAAGAAGCATCTGAATTGATCATAATATAGAGAAAATGCCCCTAATAGATGTTTGTAAAACATTTCATCCAATAGTAACAGAATACACATTCTTCTCATCAGCACATTGGATATTCTCTAGGAAAGCTAACTTAACAATGTTAGCACATTGGATATTGGATATTCTCTAGGAAAGCTAACTTGTTAGGTCACAAATTATGTCTTAATAATTAAAAAAAAGAAATCATATCGTGGATCTTCTCAAACCACAATAGATTAAAACTACAAATCAACAACAATAAAAATAATGTAAAATATGTGAATACATGGAAATTGAACAGTTTATTCCTAATKACCAAGGGTTAATGGAATAAATTAATGGAAAAATCTCAAGAACATACATCAAAAAGCTAGAAAGATCTCAAATAGACAATCTTACAATACACCACAAAGACTTAAACCCAAAGTTATTAGAAGGAAAGAAATAATAAAGATCAGAGCAGATATAAACAAAATCAAGACTAAAAAAATAATACAAATCATCAACAAAACAGAGTTGTTTTGAAAATCTTAAAAAAAATCAACAAACCTAAACCTAGACTAACCAAAATAAAAAGAGAGGACCCAAATAAATAAAATCAGAGATGAAAAAAAAAAAACTATTGATATCACAGAAACACAAAAGATCCTAAAAACTACTACAAACAATGATATGCCAAAATACTGGAAAACGAGGTGTGAGGATGTAACTCATTGGTAAAGCTCTTGCCTAGCATATGCAGAGACCTCCAGGAGTGCCAAAAAAACAAAAACCAAACCAAACAAAAAACAAAACAAAGCTGAAAAAAAACTAGAAAAAAATAAATTCATAAATATGTACAACTTAACTAAAATTGAATAAAAAATCTAAAAAGAAATGGAAAATCTARTGTGTAGTGAAATTAAAGCAGTAATTAAAAAATCTTTCATTAAAAATAAATGCCCAGAAACTGATGGSTTTATAACTGAATTCTACAAAACAYTTAGGGTAGAATTACTCCAAACTCTACTTAAACTATTCCAAAAATATTGAAATGGAAGGAACTCTGCCAAACTCATTTTGTAAGGCCAGCATTACCCTTATGCTAAAACCAGAAAAGGATACAACAAGAAAAGATAACTACAGATCCATATCTCTTATGAAAAAAGATGAAAAAATTCTCAATAAAATGTTGAAATTGCAAACCAAGTTCAAGAGAATATCAAAAAGGCCATGTACCATGATCAAGTGGGATTCATCCCAGGGATGGAAGGTGGCTCACTATACATGACTCAGTTTATGTGAAACAGCATATCAACAGAGTTAAGGACAAAAAACATGTGATCATTTCAATAAATCCAGAAAAGGCATTTAATGAGATCCAACAACCTACATAATAAAAACTTTCAACATATTAGCTATAGAAGTAACATACCCCCAAATAATAAAGGACAATATCATACTAAGTGGGAAAAAAATCAAAGTGTTTCCTCTAAAATCAGAAACAGGTCAAGAATGTCCACTTTCATATTCTTATTTAGTACACTACTGGCAATCTTGGCAAGAGCAATTAGGCAATTAGACTTAAATTCCATAAAGGGCACCAAAAACACCAAGTGGAGGATTTAGTCTTATTCTTCTTTAGCACAATTGTTTAACTATTGAGTGAAACAACTTATGATTTATTTCAAAATGACTAGAAGAGTATGAAGTTTCCAATACTTAGAAATGATTAATGGCTGAAGAAACAAACAAAMAAAAAGTCTCTTCAGAGAAAAAGAAATAAAATCCATCCAGATTGAAACAGTGAAGCGAAATTATCCACTTTTGGATATGACATAGAAAACTATAAATACTCCATAAAGACTGATAGAACTTATAAACAAATTCAGTAAAGTAGCAGTATACAAAATCAACATCCAAAAAAACAGTAGCATTTCTATACTCAAATAATGAACATTCTGAAAAAGAAATTAAGAAAACAA